GAAACCAGTAATTTGGGTATTTTTTTTCAACATTACAAAACCACCAACAAATTTGTGTTTTTTGTTTTAAATTGATTTCCTCATCAAGATCTGCGCCACATTCAAAAAAATATATCAAAGCCCCGATTCAACCGACCGCACCACGAGTTGTCAGTCCTCTGATATCCAATTAACTACGTTACGTGCTCAGGTGAGATGTTATGTTTGCTGTCATGGCGTTAACAGGAAGACCTTGGTGGATCTTCAGTTCTCATATTCCTGGAAGCGAAAGAAAACCGATTTCCTGTATATGCGTTTACATATATTATTTAAATGGATGTTCGTATTCTGTTCAAACGTCGAAATTGCAATAGGCAGTAAAAAATTCAATTTTTTAATATAGGTTTGGGAGAAATAAAAATTTGTAAACAAAAAGGCTGGCGCCATTTAACATTAAATTTAGTTTTATTCCATGACCCCTTTAAAAAGAAATATATATATATATATATATATATATATATATATATATATATTTATTCAAACCCAGTTTTATTTCTAAATTCAACACCATCACTTGATAAGACACCAGAAGTGTTGAAAAAAAATGGCTATTTTTTGTAGATATTTTATAACGTATTTATGTTATAATTTTCGAATAAATAATTATATTTTTTTTCATATTCTGTATTTGAAAAAATTTTTTAAGAATAGTATTATTTGGTTATTGGAATTGATTCTTTATGCAGAAATTCCTATGGGTTTGGTCAACTTGTACATATATATATATATATATATATATATATATATATATATATATAATGAGAGAGAGAAAGAAAACTGATTGAACATAGAAATATCAAAAAAAATGTTGACTGTCACTTTCACAACAATGCGATCGCCAGGCCAAAACACACGAGAAATAAAATGGAAAAATAAGAAAAACCGAACCAGCTAAAAGCATCTTAAAGTGTTGTAAGTTTTAGGTTGAGAAAAAAATATCAGTAATTAATTATCCAGAACCAGACAAGTCGTAATGAATAATCAGGGCACCTTTCCTTAATGTTGACACAAAAACAAATTCACACTACGCCACTTATAAAAGTTTAAGTCTAAAACGATTCAATAAAAAAATAACATGACATGAATATAATGGAATTTATTCGAAATACTTTTAACTGAAAAAAAATACATGAAAGAAAAATATACAAAGAAATAAATGAAATACAAAAATGAAAACGTATAATTAAAAAAAAAGGATTAAATAAACATTCTAAAGGTCGAAACCACAAATAATACTAAACACAACTGAAAGATTAATTTTTCAACTTTTTTATAAATATATATATATATATATATATATATATATATATATATATATATATATATATATATATAACAAATAATACTAAATTGGAAAGATTTTGATTTTCAACTTTGTTTTTTTAAAAATTTGAGATATATATATATATATATATATATATATATATATATATATATATATTTAAATAAAAAAAAATACACTGGCCGACCAGTTTAAATTAAAAAGCGAAACTGACGTCAAATTTTCTGTGCAATATTTAAAAAAAACAAAAATTTTTGGAATCATGAAATGCAACGTCTGTTAAGAAATTTTTTTTTTTTAATTTCCATATTTGTCTTTTTTATATATATATATATATATGTGTGTATGTGTTTGTGATATACTACAGTGGTATTTTTATTTATTTTTTATAAAATACATTTTGGTTGTCATAAAGAGACTTCAAATATGATTAAGTCATATCTTATATATTTATATTTTTATTTATAAAGGTCTAAAATCCTATATTTATTTGTATACTAGATACGGTATTGTTAAATTAATCATTTAAAATTTAGGAATTTAATTATCCATTTATTTTTTTTTTACTTTCTTATTTATGATCAAATAATAGATATATAATTATGAAATTTTTTTTTTTAATGTTTGTATCGTGACTTGTCTCAAAAGGCAACACGCTTTAAAATATTGTAATCCTTTTCCCCCTCCAACTTAAACTATATGATACTATTTAGCTTAAAGAAAAGGAAATAATTTTTTCGTAAGTTATGCAACATTGCTTGAGAATGGAACAAAAACTTTAATTTTAAGTTTAATTTAAAGTTTAGTTTTTACTTCCGAAACACGGTAATTTCTGTGTCCCAATGAATACATATTTTTAAATAATTATATTATCATAATTATATATATATATATATATATATATATATATATATATATATATATATATATGAGAGAGAGAAGCCTGAAGCAGACTGTCACCACTAATGTTTGACCTCAGTGTCCACTTTTATAATTACATACGCTCTATCGCTGAGATTGAACACTATAACTATATCAAACCTAAAACTATATTTTATCATATATATATATATATATATATATATATATATATATATATATATATACACATACACACAAATTTCTTTATGAAGTGCGTTTTTGCTAATGCGAGGAAAGGGTTTATTTATCTCAGTTAATGTAAAATGACGTTAATGATACTGCAACGTTAATGTGTACTTCTTTATGTATTATTTGTAAAGGTTAACTTGATTTAATTAGATATTCATCAAGGAACTTCAACAAAGAATCTTATCTTTTTACACTTTATCGTTACCGTTGCCCAAGGCTTCTCTATTCACTACTAATCATCTTCCTCTTCTCTCATCTCCATCGCTTCATTTTCTTTTCTATTCTTTTTTTCATACTATAACAAAATCATTTTTTTCTCATAACTAAAATTACGATTCAAAAAGAATACATTTACTTATTAAAATTATCATTTTCATCAAGAAATATTTATTTTTGCTAACTCGAGAAGCATTTTATTTCATGATGTAGAATTCTACTTAGCATTATTATTAATATCACTTCTTTTTTTATCTAACCTCTTGATAAGACGAATCAGAAGTACGATAACAGGGAAGGAGATATTATCAGCTTCGGAACCGTAAAATCGACAAGTCAGCCAAGATAACAATATCTTCACAATGTAAAGAATTATGGGGCTAATTTTTTCGTCCATGCTGTTTGCCTGTATTCAATATAGATGTCAAGTTACACCTCCCAACGAAAGCCTCGCCCGAATATGATTCTCTATGTCACTGACAGCTAGCATCTACATTTATTTCTAGCGAGCGCCACTCTTGACAAACACCTAAGCAAAGTGCTGTAAAAACAGCCGACATCTAAAGTCGTAGTCGAGCGAATGTTCGAACTTCAATATTTCAACGCTTCATGGTCTGTTTATAAATAAATAATTTGCAGATGACAGTTGTCTGGCGAGAAAACCTTGTATGAAAATAGACATAAGCTATTTCATTAACTTATAGCTGAACGGTTATTGCAAATATTGCTCTGTTTCTTGATTTAACTTGATGAAAAGAAATTTTATTTATTTGACGATTCTTGACAATAGTCTAATGTCCAGAATTTCACGTGGTTTATGATACGACTCGCAGAATTATCCGGCGTTACCCGGGATTTTATTTAATAATTATTTTATCTATATTGTTCACGCAATAGTTTCTTTTTGCATAGTTGCTATGATTCAAACGACATTTCGGCCGATCCATTCTTCATCCTTCGTCAAGTGTAAGCCTATAAAAACAAAGAAAATATTTAATAGCTCAATTGGAATTGATCTTACATTTGAGCTTCAGGCTCAGTGGTATTAAAATTTTCTCTGGATAACTACACAAGAATGTTGAATAAAAACGCGAATGTCCGTATGTCTATTTATTATTTTATCCTTTTTTCTTTTCTTGTTTTTTGTTTGTTTGTTTTTTTTTTGTTTTTTTTTGTTCTTTGTTCACACGGATTACACCCGACGCGAGCTCAAGAATATATTAGCTGAAAATTTGTTTCTAAAAAAATATGAAAAAAAAATCAAACTATTCAATGTTTCGTATGCTAAGAACTTCAGTTATAAACAATCTCTTAATTTGCTAGTTTCTATTTACATTTTATACAGTTACTATTAGGATCAGAGTGTAGTGTCTGTCCACTCCACTGCCCTTCTAAGCTGAACTAAGTTATTCTTTCTGATCGAGAAACCTACATAATGACATTAAACTGGTAGTATCTCTTGAAGGGTAGAAAGAGGGTATAAACGAGTAATGATAAGAGGAAAGAAAAGTAGAGAAAACTAAACAGAAAAGTAGGTAAAAGAAAATCATTTATACATGCAAGTATCTTGGATTATAAAAATGATATAGATTGCCAAATATATTTATTACATAACTGATACATAGAAGAGTTCCATATATTATTTAAGATTTGAATATTACATTCCTGAGATGGTCACCACCACGAACAGAGCATGCAAGAACTCGCTCTCTCATTTCAAACACAGACATTATGAGGGTCCACCATTGGCAAAAGAGATAACAGATACCTGTAGGGAATCGTTCTAACCACATCTGGACGCGTGGCCGAGTGGTTACAACGTTCGCTTTCTGACCATGAGACCCGAATCTCACTATGGTCGATTTGTCAGGAAGGAGATCCTGACGTTATCGGGTTGGGGGGGTCTTTGGAAAGTGCCCGAAAACCATACCACGGGTTGAAATTGGATAGACGGATCAATTGGGAGGGGGGCGTCGATAGGTGTGCTAGCACGAAGTCACAAGTCATCGTGACTTGCTGGCGTTGTTCAAATTGTTGGTCATGCAATATAACACGCTCTCTCCCAGAAACTGTAACTAAGGTCTGCTCAGCATAGTTGGAGTATGTATTTGCTGAGCAAACACAAATGTGTCTGAGCGAGCGTCGGTAATAGGGATTGGTTAGGCGCCCTAGTAGACGGGTATCCCCGAATACGAATGGCCAGCTATTGTTATTATTATAGGAAATCGCAAAATATTCGATATATTGATTTCTTGTATATCAGTTATGTAAGGAATCAATTTGGTACTCTGTCATTTTTATAATGGAAGATTCTTCTTTCTGTGTGCTGTGTCCTTTTTGGACGTAGGCGATCATGGCTCACCACCTCCCTCTATCCCTTGCAGCTCTCAACAAGTTCCTTCTCTCTGCCACCTTCCCCAGACCACGTTCTGTTACTTGCTTGCATTTAAAATACGTCTCATCTTTATGGGCCACCCTTTATATAAGACAGTTGAAAAACTACTCAGCTACACGTTTTGCCCTTTATAGCAGGCTCCCTCGGGCTGGAACGAGACAAAACTGTAAGAAAAAGTTGTTGGAATATGATAGTGGGGGGGGAGTAATAAAGAACACATGTTTAATGGACTGAAGCCCCCTGCTAGATTTTAAATTTAGCCCGCTTCAAATGATCTGTTTTTTTTGTTTGTTTTTTGTTGTTTTTTGGTGGTGGAGGGTGTCTTTTAATTTATATGCTGCATTGTGCTACTAATTATTTTTTTTTTCAATGATAGGAATCATATCCTATATCCCCTATCTTCGGTTCGCTGTAGGCCATCGAGAGATCAGTGCATTTACGTAACAAATCATTTTCTCTTTAAATCAGTCTGGCATTTTTTTCCGTCGAAATTGTTGTCATGTGTTTCTATGAACTTCTTTCATGTGACGTGTCCCTTCAGGATGTAGACGATCATGGCCCTGCACATTTTCCTGTTCTTTGTAGCTCTTAATAAGTTTTTTTTCTTTTTGTTATTTCTCCCAAACCCTGTTCTACCATGCATTTACTCAAGCTTATCAATTATGTTACGCACTGCTTTCATCTGTCCCTCAATATGTCCTGTGAGTATCAAGTTTTCCAAGCCCTCCTTCCTTTTTACGTGTTCCAGAAATTTCAACTACCCCTTCCTGATGTTAAATATAAATTTCCTTTTTGTTTCTATTTTCTCCAAAACCTCGTTGCTCACATGTTCGATCCATGGTATCCTCATCATCTTTCTGTAGAACCACATTTGTGCTGCTTCAAGTCTATTGTCTAGACTTCGCTGCCATAGAGTAGGGCAGATATCAAGTAACACTTCATTACTACAGGTCCGTTTAAGATATTGTTCTACAATAGAACTCTTGGATGTTCGTATAGACATCGGAATAAATAAACTATACTAAGTAGCTTGCTTTAATATCTCCGTTTTTGGCCAGATATTACTCCCCATCATATTGTTAACTATATATATCTTATTATTAGTAATTAAAGATAGTGTCAATTTTTTTTTTAAATCCATCAAGTACTTCAAAACGTATATATACTTGATCAAAAAGTATCGTGCCTGGTCCAATAAAAAGAAAACTACAACATATATCAATTCGGCATTTAATCTCCTTCAAAGTAATCCCCATCTAAAGCCAGACACTTTATCCAGCGTCGTTTCCATTGACTCCTTTTTTGGGGGGGGGCGATAGCGTCGTATTCTCTTCGATTTCTTCGGCGTCTTGAAATCGTGTTCCTTTCAAATGGAAGTTGATTTTTGGACGCAAGGATCGAGATCTGGGAAACATGGTGATTGTCGGACCTGGGAATGTCGTACTTGGTCAAAAATTGCTGCACAAGCCATGGTCACAGATGAAATCTCTGTGATGTGTTGAGACGACCACACTCTACACACTTTCCTTCCAGGTACTGTTACAACCCACAGAAATGAGCGAGAACTTTATACCTTTTGTATATATTAACGACAGCATCCAAAGACAATTTGTGCCAAGCGGCTTCACTCAGCATACTTTAGCTCTGTTATACATAGCAACAGTTCCGACATATATCATATATGATAAAAGCATAGTTTTCAAATATGCTATATTTATGGCTAAAAGTGCTCAGTATCAGATATAGAGCGTATGTATATATAAAATGGACACTGAGTTTAACACCAAGCGACGACAGCCAGTTTCCATGCGTGAACGTAATCTTCAGGCCATGTGTGCTGTGCTTTGGCTCGACTATTTATATACGCTGGTCAGTAGTACATTATGTGTAGTAGAGTCCATTGTATTATCGTAACGGTTATTGGGAGAGCAGTATCAGTTATGTTTTAAATTATTCTAGTGGCTATCGAGGAGAAATAATTGTGGATCATTCCCTTCCTTCTTAGTTATTTGTCTCTGTTGTTTTTCTCTATCTTCTTCATTTCCTTTCTCTCTCTCTCTGTTTTCTTTTTTCTCTCACTATTTTCATGCATTTTTTTTTCATTAACTCTCCTATAGTTTTTCTCATTTTCTCTTCCTCCCTCCCTTTCGATATTCCTACTCTCTATCTTTTTCTTACTTTCTCTCTCTTTCATTCTTTAGTATGCATCCCTCTTTCTTTTATAGTGTTACAATATCTCTATTTATCTATCTACATACATACATACATACATACATACATATAATATTTTCTATTTTTCTCTTCTTTGGTTTTCATCTCTTTCTCTTTTCTTTTATTCATATTCAGTCTATTTGAATTGCTCTTTTTTATCCTCTCTCTCTCGCACACACGACATACCTATAGTAACACCGGATTTTAACACATCCGGGCACAAATCATATCCAAAATCGACATTCCCCACCCCAACAGATCTAATATCTTCATTCCATTATCTACGAGCAGACACGCCTCTTCTCTTCTGTCCATTCCTGACAAAATTGGTCAAAGTATGACCGCCATGACGACAGCAGCACATGTAATAATGATTTGTTGTTTTATTAAACCGAAATTGTAGAAAGCACGCCACACTTCTTGGACATTGCTTTCTGTATAGATTTTAGATGGTGTGAATCTTAACTGTAAGATCAGGCTGAATATCTTGTTCTTCAATCGCCATTTTAGAATCTGAAATCAAAAACGATGCCCGGAAACTGAATTTACTTTTACTTTTACTACCACTTCCGGTGAGAATCCTTTGTAGGAAATAACGTTTGCAGATTCGGATTGGTCACCGAGAAAGATATTAATTAAAACAAACCACGATCCTGTTTTAAATAATAAAAAAAAATCATTTGCGTTCTCAGCTATCAAAAACAATATTTTATTTGAAGATTTAGCTTCATCCGTTATTAAAATGAAAACTTTATTGAGCTGAAACAAAGCCGATATTTGCTAAGCTCTGGCACAGGGACAAAAAAAAAATGTGAAAAAAACCCAAAAGACGACGGGGCCCTAAACATGTTGCCTGATTAGCTCGCTAACCATCACTGAAAATTTATTACCTGAAATTACAATACAATTGTCAGTCAAAATTAACTGCGGAATTTTTTGCCGCATGATCTTGGCTTTCAGTTTACAACATCGTGTGTGTGTACGTGCGCGTGTGAGAAACTGGTGCGTCCTGGAAGCGTGACAGTCATAAATGCGAAAAGCGAAATCATCAAGCCGAGACCAAATTCCTCCCAAGTCAGTTGCAATTATTATTATTGCCTTTGGAAAAACCCATTCTCCCGATTCTAAGGATTAAATAGTAATATAAATTGGCCGCTCGAGTCTTGAGTAGAATTCAGGCTGAAAAAGTAAAACTTTGAATTCAAAGCAGGTGTTAACGGTTTGTGTTGTGAGACCGATTAATTTCTTTCTTCGAAGCTTTGGCTATTCACTGCAAGTGATTCCCCATCTGTAATTAAGGAACTCCACCTTTGCGTAGCATTCTAGAATGGATGCTGTGAGAGTGGGTCTAGACCTGCGCAACACCTTACTCATCTAAAAACAAAAATAAACCATCATTATCTCTTGCGGTGGATTAGCGAGAGAACAGTCTTAAATTGTTTCTGTTTAAATTTCTGATATAAGGAATTTTCCTTATTGTACAAAAACATTTTCGGACGAGTATCCTCATCTTGCATATTTCTGCCATTGGACACTCAGCCTTCCTTCAAGTCTCTTCCGCATTCGATAACATGTGAATTTATAACCTAAGTATATAGCTTTTAGTATCTGACCCATAGACATAATTTTCGATCACCGTTGAACTAAATCCACTTGACACATGCTATTATTCACAAGGTCCCAGCCCTAGTGAGAAGAAGGAATTTTTTAACGTTAAAAAGAATATCTCCTCTATTCTTGTTAGGCTTTTATACGATGCTTATTTCCATGCTTAGCCTACTGACAGGATTATTATAGTATAGAATAGATGCTGATATTTCCAATCACTTCATTTTCTTAGGGTGTTCACTGCCATTCTATTTTTTTTTAAAGTTGAATATTCTCCATCTTTTCTGACATGATCAGCTATGCCTGATTTCATATTCTCTTTTCTGACTACAACTTTTGGAAGTTCTTGGCTTACATTTATGGAGATAATCATATTTTTGTATTCCGTGTCACAGCTGCAAGGAATTATGAATATTATTTATTCCAATATAAGATGTTATAGAACGGTCGTATATAATATTTTATGTATTGCTGATGATTCCAAATATGAGAGAATTGGTTTTTGTTTTATTTTTTCATAAATTGTTTCATCTGCTAATGTTTGTTTTCTGGGTATATTAAGTAAGCAATGCAAATTGCTTATTCATTCGTAGTTTGTGGATATTTCCAAAACGCTTTCATAGTTTCTCACCTTCGTCAATCACAAACTAAGGATTTTGCAATATAAGGGTTTTCGTCGTAATTTATTATTTATTTATATTAGCATAGTACACACAAAAAAAAAACTAGATTGTTTATGCATGGAACAAAACTTCACTCTAAGATCAGTGTAGTATCTGTGTGTTCAAGAAAAAGCAGTGTACACACATACGAGGTGTATTCCACAAGTTCTTAAACTTTGTCAGGAGAGACATTTTTTTTAATTTCAATGAAGTACAAAAACTCTAATCCCCTTCAAAGTACGAACCTCTGACTTCAGTGAACTTGTTAGCTCGCTCCAGCTACATTGTGAAGGCTCCAACGTCAAAGGCAACCAAAGTGAAAACGTCCAGGACAATTACCACAACGTCCTGCATCTTAATACAATCATTGTTAGCCACCTGAAGAAACGTTTGATTTTAACGTTGAAACAAAATGTACAATTTTGTAGTGGATATTTACATGTTCTACTGACATGATCAGCTATGCCTGATTTCATGTTCTCTTTTCTGACTACAACTTTTGGAGGTTCTTCATGGTTTACATTTATGGAGGTGATCATATTTTTGTATTCCAGGTGACAGCTGCAGCTTCCACTGTAAGAGTGTATAATATGCGCCGTCGCCTCCCTCTGTCTGTTTTACAAATACTTTCATGGCAATTGCTCCGAGGAGCTGCATTCGCTGGTTCCCAGACTTCATGAGTTCAAGCGCCCTACGAGGCTGGCATCTCGCTCTCACTCTTTCACTGTCGAAACTCCTAAATGTAGCCGTCTCTCCTACTCCAATAGCTCGCACCTCTCGCCTGTAAAACTTCCTTCCCTATTCCAGTTTCCCTGAGAGCTATAATCTCTAGCTATTCAAATGTAATGTCAATCGACATCTCCAGTTGCCTTGATCTATCCACTACCCTTCTCCACATCCTTTCCTCTATCACTCCTATCTGATTTTGCTCCAAATCTTCTGTAACCCCTTGCGTCCTAGTGGCTTCTCACCTTGCTTGGGGTGAAACGCTTAAAAATTATATATATATATATTGCTCTACTTTTGCATATTGTTTTAAATTTATGTTTTGAACATTGAAATTTTATTCTTCGTTCTTTAACATTTGGAGATATATACATATATATATCCGCATACTTGAATGAGTATCACTGCGGAACTAAGTGAGTAGCAGCGATATCGAGTCTAGTTTGTGTCTTCTTCGTCACCGAGTCCCGTGGTACAGTTGCGATGACGTTTGCGTTGTACCGAAACGGTCCGGGTTCGATTCTCGGTAGTGGATGAGTCTCAGATAAGACGAAACAGTGTTTTCTGCATTCTGTTGAGATTACTCTAAAAATTTCTTCACTTCTAATATATATATATATATATATATATATATATATATATATATATATGATGGACTCTCCCGTCGTAGAATCGAAGAGACAGACTACTTGAACATATAATTTGATTTCCTTAGATGTGAAGACAGAGAATTGGTGCACATAGATTGCCGAACAATCCACTTCCGGTTTTGAATTCCAAGTTTTCCATTGTGACGTCGTCCCCCCTGGTCGCAGCGTCGTTCGATCCCGTTCGCGGCGCCAGCTGTTCGCTCCTCGCTGCTCCAAGTGTGACGTTCTAACCCTTTGGTTAGATGAATACCAGCCTCGTCGTTCCCAACCCGCTTCCAACGCCTGGTTACCAGGGTAACTGCACTGATCTCCGGTCTGCCTACCCACGTTGTGATTAGATCTTAGACAGACGGGATCAAACAGGGATTGGGCCGTATGCAAGCTGAGTCCAACGGGGGTGATAACACACAAGAAAAATAAAAACTCACAAGGTCAAAATTATTGAAGAAAAAGGTGACAAATTTTTATATCTAATTGCTCGTTACACAAGATTATTCCTACCTCCCGACCCGTTCTGTGGACTGTGGCACCACGCGGTGTTTTTACCAACAACTTTAAGGCTGATTTGAGTTGCCTCAAACTACTTGTTCTAGAAATTTGCATTTCTGGGGTGTGGTTGACGCGGTTTCAACACTGGGCGCTGATCTCTGCTTGTCGTTCACGGCTGATCTCTCTCGCCGTCCGCGGCGCAAACTTCTCTGAATTATTGTCGTTCACGGCTACCTTCTCTCGCCGTCCGTGATTGCAACTAATTCTCTCTTCAGAGTCTGAATTATTGTTCTTCATCTCCGCCGTCAGTGCGGGAATTAACTTCTTCTCTTCGGCTTCGGTTGGACGAGCTTATTCACTTCGGCTTGGGTTGGACGAACTTTCTTCTTAGGCCAAACGGACCGGCCTTTCTTGCCCGCAAAGGGCGAATGAACCGGGCCCGCCGTCCGTGCTCAAACTCCCTCGCCGTCCGCGGCGCAACTCTGATTTCTGTCGGTTGGGGTCCCGCTTTTATTGATGCAGTCAAAACTGGGGTGGGTCTGTCGGCGCCAGGGTTTTCTTTGATAATTCTAAATACGTATCCACCCCTTCTTATTTCTGATTAGGGATTTTCCATTTTCGGTAACTTACTTTCACTCCTACTCCCTTACTGTGCCTCTGGGGCGTATACCGCTTCCCCGCTCCTTTCATGTCATGTAAACCGCTCTCGGCCAATGGGGTCCTGGTCGGGCATCTTTCCTCCTCTCTCGCACGTCATGTGACCGCTCTCGGCCAATGGGGTCCTGGTCGGGTGTCTCTCCTCTTCCCTCGTGTATCATGTGACCGCATTCGGCCAATGAGGCTCTGGTCGGTATCTTTCCTCCTTCCTTCGTGACGTCTTTAATCAGGCGTGAACAATCCGTGGCTTTGTTCTGGGGAAGAAACACCTTGCTTAAAAAAAAAAAAAATTTAAATTGCCCTTTTCGTACGTGACCGAAATGACGCTCTCGGTTTCTTTTACACGCGGTATTTGTCAAACAGTTTATCGCTAATTGGATACGATCTAAGAAAGGGATTTCTCAGACTGGGTGGCGTTTTCGTGAACTAATAAAAATATTTCACTTTTTTTTTTTCGCAGCCAAAGGCCTGATAATAAAATTTTCCATTATCTCAAAAAAACATTTTCAGCCAACATCATTCTTGTGTGGCTTTATTTTCAATTCTGGA